GGTTTTGCTTTGCGTCGGCCTACAAGTTGCCAGAGGAACTTGGACTGTCAACTGAACAGCTGATTTGTCTGTACAAAGAATGCATAGAGATGGCTAAACACTGTAATGATATAAGTACCACGATGAATTCATGCATTCAGTTCGTAAAGCTTAGCAACAGTATAGGTAGACATGCTGAATCACTGAGGTGTCTGAAGGAAATGTTACCGTTAGTTGTAGGAATGCTAAGCTCCGAGTTAATAGTTCATAGACATTTGTCCATCGCATATATGAAGCTCAACGAGTTTGAAAACGTTGTCTTGCACGCCAAGAAATGGATCAAAATTGCTCAAACTATAGACGATAAAGAAAACGAAATGTATGGACATCATGAAATGGGAAAGGCGTTATCATTCTTAGCTCGTTATGATGATGCTATTGACTGTGGCAAAAAATGTCTTAAAATTGCCCAGGAAATTGTTAGTCCCGAAGGCATGATGGATGCATATGACTGCATAATGGTCGCATATAAATACATGCAGAAATATGATGACACTATTCTGTATGCGCACAAGCTCCTTGATTGCGCCATGAAAAACAACAATCAGAAGATTATGATGGACGCGTACTTAGAGCTAGGAGTAGCACATTGTGCCTTGAATCACTATCAAGATGCCACTGACTTTGGACAGAAATGCATTGAAATAGCGAGGGAAATAGAAGACAGACGTGGTGAAGTCAAGGCTTACCTATTAATGGGGCAGACATATAACGCTCTTTCTGACTACGACAATACAATTATCCATTGCAAGAAGTGTATTGAGCTTGCAATAACTATTGGCGATAAAGATGCTGAGGCCCATGCTTATGGCGTCCTTGGAGATATACATTATTCAAAGAAGGAATATGATGATGCCATTCAGAATTTCAAGAAATGCATTGATATCGTGAAGCGTTTTGGCCTCGAGAAGAAAGAAGCGGCTACAGCTTGTTTGTGTCTAGGACCGATATATCACAAACTGGATCAGTATAATGATGCAGTGCATTATTTCAAGAAATGCATCGACATGGCACAAGAAACTGGTGAGAAAAAGATTGAAGCACAAGGATGTCTCGGTCTTTCGTCTGTATACCGGACATTAGTTGATAAGGAAAGCATGGATAATGCCATCCAATACGGTAACAAAGGCCTGAAGATCTCTCAAGAAATTGGCGACAAAAAAAATGAGATGGACGGATATCATTGTCTCGCTCATGCATATATGGGCTCGTTCCAGTTGAATGAAGTGTTTCAGAGTATAGATGCAGGCATGGCGATTGCTACAGAGCTTGGAGACAAAGAAGCTGAAGAAAACTTCAATGTAATTTGTTATAGTCTTTATTGCACAGTTGGTTTGCAAAACAAGGTTGATGCACCCTTAGTAAAGGAATTATTAGAGGTACCAACATGTTCTGAAGATGAGCTATTACAGGATCGTGACCAAGCGGTGAAGACAAGCGATAAAAAGAAGAAATCCAGAGCTTTAATGAGGCTTTACAATTTTTATCGTTCTAAAAAAGAATATGCAAAAACAATCAATTGCCTTGAGCAGTTAAAAGAGATGGACTTTAATTGTTGTGTGAACTTGTTCTGTATCACACAAATCGGGAACTTGTATCATTTGATGGATCAGAATGACATGGCTTTACGCAGTTTCAAACAAGGGCTACCTACTGCTGAGTCTTGCCCTGATACTGATGGGTACCTACCCCACTTTTATTATTCCTTTGGTAAATTATTGTATTTCTTGAACAGAGAACTGAACTTTGCAGAAYATTATCTARGASAAGCTATACGAATCTTTGAAGCGATCTTTACCGCACTTGGTAGTCTTGATGAATTCAAGATCTCCATATTTGACAAATATGTCAATAGTTATAAGCTGTTGGCAATACTGTTAATCAAAGACAAACAGATGGAGGAAGCGCTTTTGGTGTTAGATCGTTGTCGTGCAAGAGCATTGAAAGATCTTATGATGTCAAACTTCAAGATGAAACAAGAGGAGAGCAATGATGAACACCTAGAGTACAGCGATGTTTTGTCTCTGGTCTCAAGAAATGACTTCAGCATTGCCTTTTACTCTCTTTGTTTTAATGTTTTTCTGAAGTTTTTTATTGAAGGGGAGACAGATTTGCAATTTCCAATCTGTCTTAATGATTCCCTACAGATACAAGTCGATAGGTTGTTTAACGAAATGGGTGTTCGTGAGGTGATCAACTGTGAGAACAGGTCCTTGGACAAAGAAGAAGATATTCAAAAAGAACAAAGAAGAAGCAAAGAAGAATACGAGGGACTTAATCAACCAACGGTATTACTGCTGAACCTCGATTCTAACAGAGGAGAATCTAATGAGAATAGTGCTGAAACCAAGGGATCTACTCTAGAAGATCTATTTGATATCTTAGAATGTGAGAGAATACTATCATCGAAGCAAGACGAGGTTGTTATTATTCCAGATGGTCCCTTATACCAAGTGCCTTTTCCCGCTTTGCGAGATCCTCGCACGGGAAAGTATTTATCAGAGACAAAGCGCATTAGACTTGCTCCTTCATTAGCGACTTCAAAGCACTTTGAAGACTTCCCAACAGACCAAACCAGCGATGCCAAGCCTTTGATTATTGGTAATCCTTTGGTTGGGAAGGTAATGATGGATGGAGAAGAACAGGATATTGACGGTTTGCTGGGTGCACAAGCAGAAGCAATCGTAATAGCTTATAAACT